GACCACCTCATAAACTATGCATGCTCGAAGTTACAACCTTAATGGGCTCCGTTCTGCTTGTAACTTCGAGCATGCATAGTTTATGAGGTGGTCACTAATTAGGCCTCAAAATAGATTCGATTAAAGTCAAAATGTAAGTATCATGTGGTAACACACTTGGCATGCATCGACGCAAGAGTGATGTTTTTGTCAGCGAACCCTTCACGACCACTGCCAGCGGATCGGATGGCGCAGTGGATAACACGACGGGTTCTGGATGGCACGGCAAGGGGGGACTTTGTGGATCGGATCCTCCTCGCGGAAAATGTTTTGCATTTTTCAGCTTTCCATTCATTCGCGTGCCTGTGTGTCTGGCAGTGGAAATAAGTCAAGTATATGCCATTTGAAGGCATATACTTGTGGCCACATTGTGGCCTGAAAGCGTGCTTGTGCTGCCCCTCGCAGAAGGGTTATTGCAATGAAATACCATCACATTTATGTTCAGCGGGTTGGATTACCCCTGGGGACTAATTTCTAGCCAAATCTGACGTTTCGACCTAACTTGGAAAATGTGGGCCATTCTATGGACAATTAGCAGCAGGCTGGGGTCCACCCACCATGGATGACTGGTCTTGGGATGGAATTTTCTACCGGTAATCAGGAAAATGATGCAGGCGGCACGAACAAGTGAGCCAGGTATTGTTCTTTGCGAAAAGACATGACTGAAGGGTTATTTCAGTGCAAAGACCAGTCATCACCAGTATGCTAGTCGGAGTATTGGCTATCATCCAGGCGTGACCATCTCTACCCCATTTTTTCGAAGTTGAGTCAGAACCTCGGATTTCCTCAAGGTTTCTTTTCTAGAGGTTGTTTGACCCCCTGAACACGAATATGATATCTATTAGGTTGTTCGGAAAGAAATGCGCGTTTGAGTCTAAAAATTTTTTATTATAAAAACGAAATTAAACAAGATCAATTCAAAAGATAATCTCCATTACTATCAATGACTTGTTGCCAACGTTTATGCAAAGAATGGATTCCTCTTTCGAAGAACTCGGCCGGCTGCGACTCAAAGTAGTTGGACACCCAGAGTTGGACTTCTTCGCGGTTTGTGAACTTTCTCTCGGCCAGGGAGTGCTGCATCGACCGGAACAGATGGTAATCGGATGGTGCCAGGTCTGGGCTGTATGGCGGATGAGGCAGGACTTCCCAGCCCAATTCCTCAATTTTTTCCAAAGTGATTTTCGCGACATGTGGACGAGCGTTGTCGTGGAGGAATTTTGTCGACGTCGTTTCGACACTTTGACGAGCCAGTGCTCCGGTTCAATTGATCTTTGTAGATGTCCGCCGTAACTGTTTGACCCGAATCCAGAACTTCAAAGTACACCAAACCTTTGCTGTTCCACCAAACAGAGCATCACCTTTTTGCCGTGTATATCCGGTTTCGGAGTCGGTTTTGGAGTGTCACCGGCGTCTAACCACTGTCTT